AGGGGACTCCCACATCCACCGTTGAGGAAGAGGCTTTTGGATTTGTGTGTTACCATGGATGGTTTGGGTCCTCATGATAAAATCAGATAGCCTCTCACCCTCTTCATTCCAGTCTAGTCCGTGGGTTAGGTCCAATTTTCGCGTTGAAATTTACAACAATGACCTTGAATAATGCATGGTCTTCTCTGAAAATCTTTCGAAGTCCATTAAAACGCTTCAACTTCGTCTTTGTCATAGCTTGATATTGGTGCGTAAGCAACGAAAATAGTCAAAGCCAGCATTGACACATATAGTTTCAATCGCAATCGTCCGATACGGGTTGTTAATTGTTTGAATGAATCGATGTTCATGGTCAAATCCAATTTGACGAGGACGCCAACGCCGCCGACACCTCTGCGATCGCGTGTTCCAAGAAACAGTTCTTCTCCGGTGTCATAAAGAGTGAAATCTTGAAATAAGTGGATTAATCATATACCCATCAACGCCGGAGAAGATGGGCTTTCAAATGCGCTCAAAAACACAAAGAAATGGCTGACACCCAAAAAACTTACAAGCATTTTCTCAGAACATTTTCCCCCACCTATTATATAACCCGATATCACACATTATGTGAACCTAATCACTTGTTTCATTTGATTCGTTCTTCAAATTTACGCATCAGCTGCTGCTTGATAATTTCCGAACTCTTCTTCAATGTCCTGGTCGACACAATTTTCCTCGGAATTCTGTAGCAGTAGCTGCTAACATAGTCTACACGATTTCTTTATTTTACTGCTTTTTAGTGAGATGTAATAGATATACATCTGAGAATGTTGAGTACTACGCAAAAAAAAAACTCGACCAGAGGCAGGAAGTGGAAGCGTGTTTTACTCATGCTGGAGACGCGTGCTACCAGTACACCACAGAAGACACTGTTTTGGTGCCACTCTTCCTTTGATATAAAGCGGTAGTTGCTGACTTTCACCAAAACGAACTTGTCAACATTGAGTTCAGTAACAATTCCCAGATTGCACGCTATGAATGACTGGTGTGGTTCAGAGCAGGGTTGAACCATGGCCCAGCAGAAATCAAACCGATTCGCAGTCGCACTGCCACCTACGCCTGGCGGAAGAAAGTATCACCATCTTGAATGGAAAGATTCTACAAGATCTATAATTTGTTAACATACTAACTCTCATAGTAGCGTTCTCGTTGCATGGAGAATCTCCCATGTTGACTGTGAGATTACATGGTGCACTTAGAGGCAGACCTGAAAGATGTCATGGAAGATGAGCTTCATCATGGAAACGCTTACTGACATATGCTTCATGATTCTAATGCATATTTCTATTTTAAGGTATCTTTGGTCGCTGAGAAAACGAAAAGTGCTCTGGATCTTACGGTAAATTAGTGTTGTGCAATGGAGCAATGGTGTAAGCATTGCAGTGAAACATTGAGCACCTATCAAAGAGATAAACGTCTAATTACTTGTTTCTCGGTGAACTATTTGAAATCAGAGTAGGAAAAGGTCAGATAGATTTAGAGGTATAAGGAGGAATGAGATGGTGAAGAAAATGAGAGTGAGCAAAGTAGGTGAGGGTACTTGTCAACTTTTAGCTTGCTCAATTTAAACTGTGGCAAATAATGCATTGAACACAAAAAATCTATTTAAGTAGTAGTAAAGTAACTGTAATTCATGGTACTTAATTATGCCAGGTTTTTTATTATTTAACGATTTATTAGAATTTAACCAAAGTATCAAGACAACTTTTCAAAGTAAATAGATGATTACTTCTTTGATAGTTGGACGTTTTACAAGTGATTAGGATGTATATTACTGTAGCCGATCCGATACGTGTTGGCCAAAGTTTACGAGTAAATCTATATAAAAAGTTTTTTACCCACCTCGTTGCTGGAAGGACGGTACAATGAGGGACAAGAGTAACCACATCTGGTAGTGATCGAAATGTTGCATATTCTGAAACGAGTCCTATTAGGCAATTTAGGTCCTACCTTACTTGTTTAACACAACCCGATCTCGATAATCTACAGTGAACGTGACAAACATGTGTACACTATGGATACTCACTCCTAGGAAAATCGGGAAACCACGGTCGAAAACATAAAATTTGAACAGGTGCTTGATCAATAAAGTTCATCTTCCCTACAAAAGATTTCCCTCGTAAAAGGATCTCATTTCAAATAGTCGTGAGAGCACGTGATGGATAGGGGTACAAACGCAGACCAAAATCTACCACGCTTAATGGACACACGCCGATTCAGCTGATAGACTTCCTACTTCCGTAATCCTCTGATTGATAAAGTACCTAGAAAATCTTTCCAAATCACAGAGTCAGCATGTCGATGATTTAGCAAACTCCCAAAAGACTATTTTACATATATATGTGTAAGTATATACGTACACATACATGTATATACACGCATAAACATGCATGTACATGTTTTAGTATACAAACATATGTACATATATATATATATATATATATATATATATATATACATGTGTAGATACAGATACTGCAGAAGAAAGTTTAATTCTAGTTTTCACATTGGTCTTATCACATTGACACTAATCTGTTCGAATTGTTAGTTCTCGCTGAAAAATTCACTGCGTTTTGAAAGCATTTATTTTGCTTCTATGTTATAACTACTCTCCTACTTAGATCTAACTAGTTAGTTGACTGTTAAAAATTTCATTATAAAAAGAAAAAAGGGGAGAGGTCTAACGAAACACACGTAAACGTGTGAGTCATTTTGCTACAAAACAATGATTCATTCAGGATCATTCTACTCCTCCGCTACTCTTCATATGATCAAAAGAAAGAATAATCTAAAGGTGCATGCTGTTTCTTGTGAATTTTACGAGCGTTTCAAATCATTCTATATTCTGCGTCTTCATAATATTGGTACAAAATCGTCTGAGTGATCATTATATATGATTTCTACGGCGAACTAAATTTAGTGGAAATAGCTCAATCATTTCGGAAAACAAATATTTTTGAGTAACAAATCGCACAAAACAGTATAAGGCGGCGTTTTCTCGAACACCAGTACATACACTACATACACACTCAAACACACACACAAACAACATCAACACATATGACCATAGTGACATACGTTGGAACACACATGAACACTCACACACACATGAACACACATACACGCACACACACACACACACATACACACACACACACACACACCACACACACACATGCAAGAAATATTGGACACTTGCTTTACATGTTGCGTATTCTTTTTCACAGCAGAGTATGAAGTAAATTACAACCTCAATTCTAGGAAATAAGTGAAACTTGAAACCTTATGTTAATTTCTATCTCCGCGAGGATCCTCTTCGGGAACTCACGTGCTACAGCAGTAACCCACCCACGGGAATGATCGGGAGTGCACGAATTGGTATTGAACTCAGTTAAGCTGAAATGGTAGTAGAAAGACAGCTTTTTGACTTTGCTGGAAAGAGTGATAGCAAAGTGGTGCTCTCGGAGTGATGGTATCACGGACAGTATAAAGGTGAAAAGCGGGTTCAACTTCCGCCTATAGTCGAATTTTTGCATACCACTCAAGATTTTGAAATAGTGTACCCATCATTTACTACCTAATCTCTTTTTCATTGGCAGGTATTGCTAATGGCTCCCATAAAATCAAAGCTTGGCTGAGACAACGGCAAAACATGGAGTGTATAGCAAGTGAGCTTACAGAATTGGTAATAATGAAGGCTGGAAGCCCGACTGAGACTTTAGGTCCTGCTCATGCTCGGCATCACTGTAGTTCTAGTTCCTTCTTTGTACTTTCAATAGAAGTCAGGCAGGTCATCTCTGTCAACTAATGAACGCTGTATATCAAACGTATTCTTCCTTACATACATTTCAATTATTGAAAAATAAAAATCTCAAACAAGATCTAATAAATGCTTCAAACTGGATAAGGTTATAGCTTGAGTAACGCACAGTTTTTTCCGAATAAGTCGGAACTCGACAAAAACTTTTACAATTAAGTAATGTTCTACAAAAGACACAGTTCAAACTAAAACTTGCAATGAAACAGGAATAATCAAATTTCTTTATTGATTATTCCTAGAGCACCAGGTTGTAAAAAAGAAGTTTTATCTGTCTAGATAAAGTTCTATTGAACGAGATGTTATGACTGGTTCATTGAAGATTACTATGTAGTCTATACAGTATTTGATAGAAAGCAGTGACTAAGAGAGCAAAAAATTGATCGTTAGGAATATTTGACTGATTTTTCTTAACCTGCTTCCAAATTACCACTATTATTGCATTAATATTATTAATATTACTATTACTTTATTATTATTATTATTAATGCCATAATTTATCAATATCATTCCCTGGGTTTTACAGAGAATCTTCTTCATGAAATCTAATCCATTCGATGACCAGTATACGGTGGAATTTCAACGCATTCGCGGCGGCGTTAACACTATGTTCTAGGTAGTCGCTTGTGATGACGACTTTTCAAAACCATTTTTCAAAACAATGGGGCCGTTTTAACTACTTTACCTATTCTGAGAACCGAAAAAATGTGGCTTCGAGAAATTAATTCACCACGCTGATCTTAATCACTATTTATTAAATCAGTAATGATTTTTACATGCAAGCTAGCCACGCTGTTATTAGTCGTTGTTCGCCAATGTGTTAGGTAGTGGTTGAGGTCGGCATAAGATGTTAAGACAATGGCAGATATGATTATGCACTAAGGAAGAATACAGCATTCATACTTAATCTTCTAAACAAAAATAGCTTCAGCGATATTGCTTGATGTAATAAATCGGATTTGGTCGCCAAAATTTCAATTTACCGGTAAACAGGCAAATTTCTGATTTAAATTAGATCAGCGTTAGTTATATCATTATATTATGTTTATAATCGATGAGAAATCATTTTTGTTTGACCGCCACCTGCGGTGTTATGATGCTCCAATATACCCCATAGTGTAGAGTGCTGTGCCAAAACGTCTGCGCCAGCCGGGGTTCAAACCCAGATCTCACTCTTTCAGAGGCGTATGCTGACCGTTGCATCACCGACGCTCGCTTTGCACAGCACTCTTTCTGCGCTGCAACGCGTTATCTGTTAAAAGCCAACCGTCGACGGTCTGGGAGGGGGAGGGGGGCGTCACTATTGACATTGGCCACTTTAGCTGACAAATACTGGGTATGAAAAAGTGAGATCTTCGTTTTCTCCAATCCCAGCTGATACAAACGTTTTTGCACATCACTTTACATTATATTGGGTATATTATGTCGCTACATAAGTTTTGGCAATAGCGCAATAAACACTAAATAATATATTGACCAGAAGTAGTCAAAGTTGATGGTTTTACTTTCGATCAACTGCGCATTTTCTTGTGAACAATTTGTTATTCAAATTGCCTAAACTTGCCTTAGGATGGAGCTGTTTTGAGAACAAATTCGCCGGTCACTCAGGCACGAATGGCGTGTAGAAGAAAATGCTAGTGAAACGGCGCGCATGATTAATGAAGCTTAGGACAATGATACACTTGCAGAAAGGGCTGTTAGGAAGTGGTTCACAAAGTTCAAATATGGAGAGAACAAATCTGGAGGATCGGCGGCGCCTGAGCCGTCCACATGAAGCTCCATTGATCTAGGCGTCTCTCAACTAGCATTTTCCCCTAGGCGCCACTCCTGCATGAGGAGCAAGCAATTTTGTTCCCGCGACAGCTCCATCTCAGGGAAAGTCGAGGCGAGTTCAATATAATGTTTGCAAGAAAATGCGCATTTGAACGATGCCAAAATGATGCAGTTTTGATCACTCCCGGTTGATAAATTTAGTGTTTAATGCTTTAGTGTCAAAACTCATGGGTCGACCTGTTAAGTTCCAATCAACCATTAAGTTCTATGTGATCACAAGTAAACTTGCCACGAGTAGCCTCAGATTTTAACCATTCGTATAAAAAAATTATATCACATCCGATAAAATCTGCGAATTAATTGATATTCCACGTTCAGTATATTTCAATTTCCTATAGCAAGATATATCAGAAGATATCTACCTAAAAGTTACCATATAATATATATATATAATATATATGACTATATACTTGCAAGATATATACCTATATAATATATTAATAAGATATAATAAGATATATACCTATAAGATATCAGAAAACGCTTTGGACATAAGTTTTGAATTATGTGAAAATGATGAAAAGGCAATCAGTTCTTCAAATTCAGCAAAGTCGTTCCACGAGTGTTAATGAAATGATGGTGACAACTACGGACAAGAAAGTAAAAGTGCAAAAATTAGTATAGAAGAGCGAAATAACATCATAAGGCGATAAAGGACCAGAAAGTAAAACACTGATGCCGTCGGATCACAGTTGTATCACAGTCTTCAGCGGCTGCAATAAATAGGTTCGTTCAGAGAGAATCAACTTTTTTGAACTTTTTGATTTGTCGTTCGCCAAATCGCAAGCAGTTTACGAATCTTACGTCTCCCAAAACCTTCTGATAATGGAATTTTGGAAGTGTGATACGGAAGTGAGTCATTTCTTAGCATCTTGCCAGCGATATTTATAATCCAGACAGTGTTGATGTTTAAAAAGCGAAAAATAAAGTGTAAGGTGAATTTCTATGTTTCGTCGCGAAGAGGATAGAGTTGAATGCAGTCATCTGAACAACAGACATTTAGAGTGTTCAATGAACCAATACTATCGGAGCTCGTCACCAACCGGACTGCCGCTTATTTCGACTTTACATCTTAGACACTTGAACGATAAACTGTACCACGCCGTTACTCGACCGATTGTTTATCGTTAGCGGTTGTACAAAAATTTTTTTCATTAACAATCTTAAGAAGATTCTTTGCCTTGTCGAATTGCGAAAAGTTAGAGTTCAATTATGAACAAGAGCTATCTAAGATTAGGACGTCGATGTCATCATCCGCAAGCCAGTTGAAAGTCAACTAGCATTTAGATTTACCACTGTTCAGCTTGAATCCGAATCAACACATTCCATCAAACTTCGCGCGTTAAAGCCATGAATCTTCTTGGATTAATTTCGAAATGCAAAATGAATAAGAAGGGGGAGTGTCCGAATGTTACAAATGATATGTCTCATTTCAGATTTATTACCTAGTTTGAGTGGCGTTTATCAATCAAAGTGTGAGACAACACAGCAATGATCTTCTCCACATAAGAAGCTAAACAATGGCCTGTTTACAATAGGTCGACATTTCGAAGGGTTTTTGCAATAAATTTTCTTTAGATATGGCCAAACTGGATAATTAAATATTGCAAAGTATGGTACGTTTAAGCGCTCTACAAGAAGACCGTCAACCCATTGGTCCGATTTCTTCAGAAAAGCATAGAAGAAAGTATATGATGCTCAACTAATCCCTAGAGCGAGGAGGATCCACTAGGCTACTCTTGCAAGCGATAGGAAAAAATAAAAATGTTGCTGGTGCCCGCTCGAATCACTCGACGACCAACTAATAGAGGTGATGGTACGTTTAGGTTTTTTCAGGCAAAATTAGCGAAACGCCAGCCATCATTTCTAGAGAAAAAGATGTACCAGACTCGCTTAGCTTTCTAAAAAAATAGTTCCCAGATTAACGTTGATTATCCATGTCGAGGTATAGTGAAGTTCGGACATTTGATTCACCATACTTTATCAGGAGGTCAGAAAATTGACGGGAATTTTTTTGAAGATTCTGTAAAATCATATACGCAAGAAATGGCGCTTATGAATGCGGTACAAGGTATGCTTTTAGAATCAAAGTAAACGCTTCTGCGATTAGCTAGGTCTAGTATGTATACTATGAGCAGTAAAAGACACTTTCAAAGTTTTCATTTTACTAAAATAAAATTGTCCTCGTTGTTACAGGCTAGTGAACTCTATCCTTCATTTCTACAAAAATGTATATTCCGGCAACTGATATTTACTCACTTAGTTGCTGTAACTAAACACCGGAACGATGTGGTAACCTTACAAAATTTCTAGCTGCTTCGTTCTCTTGATGTTTTCGTCGTATTACATAATCTAATTCTAAAAGTGGTGTTACCAGTGCTATTAAAATGCTGCTAACGCTGAATCTAAGGAAGACTTGGCTAGACTTACCCCGACACTCCAGAGAAAAATCGGCTGAGCCAGCACATTTTCATGTGCTGGGTTCTGCACAATTTGTGAAGACGGACCGTTCGAGTATTCAACTATCAGTTGTAAGTGCTTATGCGCCACAGTAGCTATAAAAGCAATAAGCGTTGATTCGCTCTGTAGTTCTATTTCACTCCACTTCCCAAAACCTCTATTTCTTCAGAAATAGTATGCCCTGCGTAAAGACATAACACTACCTAATACGCGGTTAGGAAGATGCATATCATTGCTCAGGCCTGATATGCATTAGATTACCTCAACATTTCCGATGAAGTGTGATGCATGGCCGAACGATTAGAAATTAGTCAGCACCGAAAGCTTCATCTCCTATCCAACTGAAAGTTTTTTAGTTTAGTTCTTTGAGTCTCATATGTTACGCATACCCATTGTTCGCAATGTCGCCCGCCGCACGCCAAGATTTGCTACGGTCCACGTAGAAATTGAAATGTGAGAAGTTATCTAATAAGTTTAGGTGTTAAGAAGATATTACCACTACTAAGTGATGGAAGATCACAAAGGAGACTTTCATGAAGGTTGTTCCAGTACAAAGAACGTCTATGTGGCGGAAATCCTCCTATGTTCCATAAAGAAAACCACATCCTTCCAAAAACGAACATAATTCCAAGTGTAAAATAACGTTTATTTACACTTGCTTCTTTTTTAGTCCATGTTTCTGTAATCGTTCGATAGCTCAAAAGATTCCCATATTGCTATTAAGCTTAGTTTGTGGGACGACCTTCATATTACGTCTTACTAAGCCAAAAAACAACGTTCTGCAATCGGAGTTTATTCTCCAGCTTCACAGCGATTTTTTGGCATTATGTAGTGACATTGCAATTCTAAGCAAACTTTGTCGTTCTAAAGAAATAGATTAATATTAGAGGATCTCACAATAATGTATTATCAATGAAAAGAACTCTCGTCTCTTTGAAATTTTCACTTTTCATTACGAATGTCTGGAATGCAGTCGCTCTAAGTGGAATGTGTTCGTTTCCCTTGGTTTTTTTTTTTCGGAAAAGAACTTCGTTGGTGAACTGCTAGTAATCATTTGATAGCTTGAGAAATGCTGATTTTGACACTGAGCTTGGTTTGTGGAGGACTTGTGGAAAAAATAATAGAGCACAGGAAATCAACACACATAACCAGTGACAAAGGTTGTAGAGATGACTTATATTCTCATCGGAGTTTAAGTGGATGTTTTAAGAAATTATCACTCAATAATGCAATGATACGAAGTCTCTTTCAGTCGCGAAAAAACGAAATGGTGAGCGCAGTGGGCGAAGGTCCGATTTCACGTGGAATTTTGGAATACGATTGACATCGGTTAAGCCGGACCTTCAATTTACCAAGGTGTGGTCTATCTCGTAATGGCAAGCTGAAAACAACCCATGTCCAGCGCTGAGAGTGAGGCTCTGGGAATTGTGAGATACCACGGATGGCTTTGCTTGTCATGATCCAGACTCTCGCCCTGTTCATTCTAACCTAGTTTATGTGTCTCAATGTAACTTTCTTCAGACATTCTTCTTGATCCAATTTTTGCACTGAAATCTCCAGTTCGGGCCTTGAGCAATGTGTAATTCTTTTGAAAAACGACATATCAGCAAAGAAGTGAATTTATCAATCGACAAGAATTCTTTACTTGTGCGCTTTTTTAGCAGTGTGATGTTATGACATATCGAGCTCGAGCTGCAGTGGTTAGCCCTTAGGTCACTCTTCTTGTATTGTATGAACGTGTGCAACGTCTCCACTGCCGGTCTTGAACATTCTTCATTTAGAAGAAAAATGTCATACGTGTTGTGAGATTCATATGTAGGTTAGTCTCCAGCTCTAAGAAAGTCGGCAATGATATCACAGGTCTTGAAGCTCTGCCTTTTTTCTATGCTTTCTATCGCAATTTGAACCTTAGAGCACAG